AAAAAACTGTCTTGCCCATGATGCCCTTCACTTTTGGGTTGTAATTTCTGAGGTTTAAGGTGTTATGTCTCTGTACACTGTAATTTCAATACCATATAACATTCTTCAGACCGTCGCAGTCCCAGGGTTGCTCAATTGAAGCTGACCACTCTACTATTTCAACAGTCTAATACAGTCGATCTTACTTTGTGCCCCCTAACTTGCACTTTATCCCCAAATATTATTTATATAATAACATTTTCTACTTAAGACAGAAAATTATTAACAAAAAAGGAATTCGGAATTTTTTTTCACGAATGGTTCTAGAAAATAATAATCTATGGTCACCGTACTCATCCCTCAGGAGTGGCCTGTATTACCATAGCTTGATGGATCATCCCATTGTCCGTCCTATCGTTATTGCATATAGATTAGACTCTTGGCTCGATTTTGATAGGTTTTATCGGCTTTTTTATTTTATTTTATTTTATTTTATTTATTAGGCGCACATAACAGAAGTTTACAAATACAAACATAAATTATAACATGCAAGTACATTGATGTATTGATCAGGTAAACTTGCCACGACATGTGCACACAGCACGATCCAACAATAAATGCGACTGCAACAAAGCCATTCGGTCGCAACTATTAGTGAAAAAAAATTAAACATAAAAAGAAACAAAAACATAGAGAAAGTTAAATAAAAAACAAATTATATAAGAAATTTCTAAATATTACATTATTTTTTACAATTGTCAGCGATATTGATTATAACCGAGTCCAAATACGTCAAGGTCATTCTGATGAGCGTCATTATATGATCTATACATATTTAGGGGCCTACTGAAAATCAGTGTCGTAGCTTCAGATTTGAAACTGCGACGTATGCTGAGTTAGGTGCTTTGCACAAACACTGGCTACATTCATTTTGTTTTTTATATGTTTTTCTTTTTTATTCTAAATTAAAAGTAAAATAGTAATGTTATTATATAATTGTGTAACCTTCATTATTATGTTGTTTTGTTATACGTATGTAACATGTACAATTTATATTATTTCTCTTAAAGAGCGATTGTATTTAACTAATGATATCATTTAAATGAAAGGTTTGTTTAATGTATGCGTAAATAAATAAATAAATAAATATTCGCTATAGGGTTATGTTATTATTTTGAGTATATCGTGTGTGTAGAGATGTGTAGACGTGGGCTTGATGATATTTATATATATAAATTCAGAAGGAGTGAAAGAAAGAAAGACTTTGTCTTCGGTTTTGTCAAGAACGTCACTATTTATTTTTCTGTAACTATGTAGGTTTAAAAGAGGTTGCCTACATGTGAAGTAATGATAGAAAATTACTTTGTAATCTACTTGATATATACCGCCGACCATAGACACTCGTAAACCTATGGGCGGTGGTAATTATTTAACACTAAGTGAGCTGCATGTGCGTTTGTTCTTATGTTATAAAAAAAAAAGTATACTTCCAACGAAGTTGAAAATTTTTTCCATGAAAAAAAAAAAACGTAATCCGAAAAACAAACAATTTTGAAGTCTCCATAATAAAATGGCGGACCTAGCTATCAATTGCTATATATTTTTGTCTCGTATTTCGGTGTCTTTTAAGAAAACAATATTAAGATCACTGATGGAACATTGTTTGAAAATGGAGCTAAATAATTTCTCTTTCACCCTGTACATATCAGGGGACCTTTGGTTTTGATCACAGAGTGATTCATCAACAAAACATCACCCGTCTTCCGCACTCGACAAACGATTAAACACGGGCGAACGGACACGAATCCAGCGCGTTCGGCGAGCAGAAAATTACCACCCGCCCGGATCGCTTCCATCGAAATTAGGGGAGTCTAGTTTTGGGATGGAAATGTCACTGGTGAACACATATATATATATATAATTTTATTTATTTATTTATATAATTTTATTTATTTATTTAAGGAACACCAACAGCATATTGCATTATAACATATAGGTATAACAAACATTAAATACAATGCAATATTAATGCACACGCCTATTATAGGTATTCACAGCATTCACTTTAACATAATTATACAGTGGCGAGAAAATTAAGTAAATAATAAAAACAAACATGTAACCTAAGTTGTGAGCAATATCAGAAAATAAGATTATGAGTGAATTAAATTAAAAAAATATATATTATGATAATTAGAGTTAATGTTCATAAGATTGTTGTACAAAGTGTTTCAGCAATTTATTCCTGTAGGAATTCGAATTATCATACACTATATCAATTTCAGGTAATTTGGCATTAATTTCATTGTGTGACGCACTATATATATATATATATATATATATATATATATATATATATATCTTATATATATATATATCTTTAGAAAATTCTATCTGCAAGTGCACAAGTCGGGCCGGATCACTAGTTGATAATCATTATGTCACTATTGAAGTAACTTACATATGTATATGTACTAACTTAATTATCCACTCGTCGATTACTACGATACAGGCCTGCGAGCCTAGTTTTGTAATCACTGTTTAGTAAATAGTGTACCCGCTTTTTTTTTTTTTGTTAAAATAAAGTCATTATTAACAAAATGTTTTTGGAGGATCAAATTAGGTTTTTTTTTAAAACTTTAAACCTAACATTCTGTGTGGCGTTTCCAAAAATTCTATGATCCATTCTCGTAACCCTACCATTACCCCAGCCCCGGCATACGGGGTAATAGCTGAGGGCGATTCGAGCCCGCTGTCATGTCGAATCTACACTGACGTTTTATTTTGAACAAATCAAAAAAACTATTGAGAAGGAAAAAAATATTGGGTGAATAGAAACAAAGGGAATCCCGTTTCCATTTTCACCGACTTTAAAACGAAGGAAGTTCATTATTTGGTTATATCGTCACTTTATGTTTGTCAACACAACATGGAAAAAGTTACAAACATCAGACGTTTCGAGATCGATTACAATTCAAAAATAAGACAAAGACTACTGTAAAGATCAATGAACATTTTACAAAAAATAAGAAAATTGAATGGAATTTAATTATTATTATATTGAGAAATATCAAAAAAATGGACGATATTAATTACTTTGTATCCTTCAAATGAAAGTTCAACGGTATTGAAATAAACAGATGGGGGACGATTTACAAATCTACGGAGAAAGTCAGTTTCTTTGGGGAACCGGAAGAGATAGAAATTTGAAAATAACCTTACCAACATAATGGTTGACTAGAAAATGTAGATTTTTAAAGAATGTCAAATTTGAAAAAAATTGCCATAGAATGGATTATATTATATATTACTTTTAATTTGGTATCAGCTGTTGATTGCCCACTGCTGACCATGGGTCTTCACCATAAGGATGTTCTTGCCAGTAGTTGGCGTTGCAGACGGGTTGACAACCAAAGTTAAGCTTCGGCGATGTTTTAAGAGCTACGCTGCTGCCCATCTCTCGACCATTGAGTTAGTAGCTTCTTTCGACATCCACAGGAAAGAAAAGTGCGGCGCATTCTATGCCGGGACCACACGGCAAGTTAATAACACCAATGCCAAAAAAATAATTTTGGGAAATTTTGCCAGTCTGCCTATATGTTTTGTTCCGGTACCATGCAAGAACTACTGTACCAAATTGGATGCGGTACAATATTAAGTTCTTGAAGATCTAATTGAAATAGTTGTGGGTATATATTTTAACACGGCGTCTAGAAGTAATCTGGTGGTCTACCATGAAATGAGATTCCGAATTTTCGGGCTCAATTTCGTGTTTTTGTTCGTACCAAAATCGACCCAGTAAATGGAGTTTAACATTTCGTCATCATAAATCCTATCATAATAGTTCAGGGGAATGATATTTTAACATTTTTAATAATTTTAAACGGCGTGCATTATGTAATTTTAACATGAAATCTCTGTTTCGATCGTCCCCGAAATTTCGGTAAATATTTCATGGTAGGCCCTCTGCTCCATTGATTTTCCTACTTCAAAAGTCCACGCGAACGAAACAGCGGGCGAATAACTTGTATAACTTTGTCTAAATAGACAATTACCACTTGTAACACTGTACGTTGCTTGTATTTTGTGCGTATGTCCTCTGTTGGAACATTTCTATACATGGAACAATTCAATTACACCCACAAATGTACCGGAATGATCGCCCTCCGTTCTGGAGTTGTATTTAATTGTATACCATTGTATCCAGTCAATCAAGCACGGTGGGGGGAAAAAATTTGTTAATATTACTCAATATTGAACTCTGTTACGTTGATAACACGGCTTACATTTCAAATGACATGAACGGTGTTGTAACTTTGAAAGATCTCAAAATCACGCGACACTTAATTCCGAAATTTCAAAATGGAAGAAGCAAGATCTATTTATGAAACTAAGAATGGCAAACAAGCTGACGGCCCACCTGATGGAAAGTGGTAACCGTCGCCTATAGACATGGGCAGTACCATGGACATAACAGCGTATACTGTTTCGCCCATTATACCCCCCATACGTTGCCATTCTTGAGGACTCAGATGTTATTCTTTTGCACCCTGTAATTTTATTGCTATATCCCATCCTGCAAACTGAAACGTGGTCTGAAATAGAACTGCTTCACGGCAGAAACACGAATGGTACAGAGGTGTCCAAGCAGGTAAATATTTATTCTCGCAGGCAAAACTGCAGGAAACAGTTGATAATTCTAACAAAATAGTCAAAACACTCATACATTTCTGAGCCTACATAGTTTTTTTTTTGATGAGTGAAAATGGTATGGTAACTCCGCCTGCGCTAACGGGATACGCTGGCGGAGCACCAGTGAAGGGTGATCGATGAGAATGAAAACAGGCCAGTTAGCCCATCAAGATGAATTAATCAGGAATTAACCATGATAGTTTCCAGGGGGAACCGCGAGGAGGTCGACCTGGTTGGGTATATTGCTAGCAATGGGATTCTCAGTCTCCGTTACTAACAATCCCTTTCCCCCCGAGCCTACATAGTTAACAAAGGAAATCAGTACTCACCAGTTTTCACCTGATGCTTCAGCGCCGACTTGCAGTCTTCGAGTAGCTGCTTCAGCGGGAGGGGTTCGTCATGAAGAGCTAAGTCCAAGGTCTTCTGCATCTCCTCTGGCATCTTGAACTCCAGGATCTGTGTGAAGGCGGTAAAAGATTTAATATTTGAATAGCATGTGAAATTTCACACTGTAATTTTTATTTGTAGTAAAATAATTTCACACCTGCTACTATTTGCTATTAAAAATAACGTATGAATATCCTTAATAGATAGATACGAAAGATTATAACGATTGAAGGGTAAATGTTTGTTACTCTTTCAAGCAAAAACTACTAAACGGATTTGAATGTAATTTGATACACGGGTAGGTTGTATCCTAACTTACCATATAGGATACCTAATATAAAGTTTCACGCAGTTGAATCCGTGCAATCGCTAGTTAATATATGAACATTGTGCTGTAAAATTGATATTTGTAAGCTCTTAGCGTTATGAATGCAAATTCACGCCATATCCCACCTTTCAAACCGAAACACAGCCATGCAAACACAACTGCTTTACGGTAGAAACACGAATGGAACAGAGGTACCCAAGCAAACGACTTTTGTACAAAGTCTCCCTCTGGTAAATCTGATGTCTGCCGTTATATATCCACTGCTAAATCTGGACTTCCCCCATAGACTGTCACAGGGAACGGTTCTGAGCCACCTGCATCCACTGACTCTCTGCAATGCATTTGAGATCGTCCCTCCATATAGTGGAGAGTCGTCCTACACTGCGTATGTCCGTAAAGAGCCGGCAAACACGAAGCTTTCTTCTCCATCTGTTATCGGTTCCTCAAGTTATGTGACCAGTCCATCGCCACTGCAGCTTGCTTAACCTTCTAGCTATGTCGATCAGTTTAGTTCTTTTGCGGGCACCCATTTATTGGTTTAGCTACATCTTTTTTTATACCACTCAGGTGGCAAACAAGCATACGGCCCATCTGATGGTAAGCGGTTACCGTAGCCTATAAACGCCTGCAATACCAGCGGCATTACACGCGCGTTGCCAACCCTAAAATCTTCGTGCATGTGACGAAGTCGCAAAAAAAAAGATAGTGGAATGTATAATACCTTCTCGTTCCTATCGTTGACTTGTTGGACATAGTCGAGGAGCACGTCCACGACCCGCGCCAGGAACTCCCTGGTTTGAGCGTTCGCATCCTCGCGATACGGCAGGATGGCTGCAACAATGTTATTTATTACTCTTTTTAATCGAGTTGATAGGGTGTGAGGTGGGGGGGGGGATAGGGATTGTTAGTAATAGTCTCTGATAGTCTCATTGCTACGATATATGACACGTTATAAAAAAAAATTCAAGAATCTTGAAAAAAAAATAAAAATAAAGGGTTTTACATACATCATTTAGACAAGACGATATAAAAAAATACGAGCTATAAAGACAATAGATTATAAAATACCTATTTGTCTAACTACACCATAATACCATTTCTAAATCTGCAATTAGAGCCGTGAAAAATAAGTCCGGATAATCGAATATTCGGATAATCGATGTTTAGATAATCAAGATTCTAATGTACCTAATTAGGAATTAATTTTGCGACCAAAATGGTCACCACTCATCAAAATAACGACTAAACGCTGATTAAGACACCCATATTTTATTCTTTATTGTACACAAAAGGTTATTGAAATAGAAAAAAAAAAAACATAATAATGCACAAAGACGAGCTTATCTCTAAAAGAGATTTCTTCCAGCAAACCCAATTTGAGAAAAACTGACAGTTTATTTGAAGTTACAGTCATACATTATACATGTATTATTCTAGAAGTAGTATTACAATGGTTGAGTATAAAAATAGTAAGCTTAACCCTCTGCCGCGCGGCCGTGCGCGCCGTCCTGATTAAAAAGTCGAGCAGTTTTTAATAACAGCGCCCCATCGCGACTGTGTCCGGGAATGTGAGAGAGTGGGGTAACCATGTGTATAAAAGAAAAACAAAAACAAACTATTATTACATGACATTATAAAATTTTGAATTTAGAACGTGGAATTGCGTATTAGAGATTTTGATTTAGGTCAATTTCATTACGTCACATAACACACACACACACACACACACACACACACACACACACACACACGCACACACACACATACACAAATTTCATCATGTCATCACAAAATTAAAATCGAACCAACGCGAGAAAAAATACTATCGATTACAAAACGAATCGTAAAAATCGATTCAGCATTAGCGAAGTAATCGCGTAATATATCGCAAAGCAAAGCCAATAGTTGCCATGCTTGGCAGGCGGATGGGTAACCGCAGTCAGGCTCTATAGGTGTTCTAGGAGAGACGCTACTGCCTATCCCTCGCCTTCCCTTAGTCGCATCTTATGATACCCACGGGAAAGGAAGGGGGGCCTATTCCATGTCAGGTCTACACGACCCTATTATTTATTTATTTCTGTCTATCTATCTATCTATTCTATTTAAGAGCTGCGCTCTTGTCGGTGGAGCTCTTGCCACTCACTACGATTGTCAGCGAGTCTCTTCACCTCTTGATACGACCGACCACCAACTCCTTCCTCGATCTGCCTGATGTAACTATGCCTCGGTCTCCCTCTTCCCCTCCTTCCTTCTATTATAATGTTCATAAGTTTGTACCAAGTGTCCTAACATTTTTTCCCCATTCACCTCAATAGTTCTTACAATTTGTCTCCTTTCCTTAACCCTAAGTCGGACCTCCTCATTACTAAATCGAGAATTTATTAATTTATTCTTTATCAACTTATTGTAATATAACCTTTGTATGCAATAAAGTATGCCGTGTGGTCCCAGCATAGAATGGAATACCCCTTCCTTTCCCGTGGGTGTTGTAAAAGGCGACTGAAGGAGGACGACGGATGGGCTGCAGCGTCTCGTAAAACATTTCCAAAGCCTAACTACGGTTGCCAATCCGCCTGCCAAGCGTGGCAACTACTGGCGAAACCCCCCTAGATAGCGGCTTATGTTCAGCAGTGGACAGTCAAAAGCTAATATGATGATAATGAATAAAGTATAAAATAAATAAATAACTAATGGGATTTTATGTGATTATTTCACAGTCTATGTTTTATGTATTTGTCCCGTATTTTCCCAACACATAGTCACACTGGAAACAGAACGTCGTATTGTCGTAACATCCGCTCACAGATGTCTTTGATACGTGCTCTGAATTGCGAGGGCAGAACGGATGATAGCGCTCGGGACAGAACTGCATACGAATATAAACTTTACTATAACGAAATAAGGTGTATAAGTGGTCACAATATCCATTGTGGAGAGCGAAGGAAGCTTCCAGAAAAAGTGTTTTATTTTTCCAACCGACTATTTGCTGTATTGTGCCAGTGATATTGTAGATACTATAATTAAAACTGTTTTTTTAATTTTTTTATTTATGTATAGGATTACCAACATAAAATACAGCTACAATAAAGCTAAATTTTAATACAATACACTGGCAGCTCAGATCTAACTGTTCTTACATTTATAGGCAACCACAGCATGCCTTGGGTTTGACAAACATTAAAATATAATTAAATTATTAAATGTGTAAAGATATTAACAATATGAATAATAATATAATATAAATAATGGAAATTGTATTCAAATTATTATAAAATATAAATAAATAATAAATATAATGCAATGGCGAGGTATATCAACACTTTAGTCATGAATACAGAGTGACTATCGTTGTGAATATCAAGTTCAGGCTTGGTTTTTACAATATCGTTATACAGTTTTACAAAAAATGCCTTCAACTGTGGTAAAACCAGTTTTTATGTATTGACTAGCGACCCGCCCCGGTTTTGCACGGGTGCAACGCCGCACCGCTATGCCCTTGCATTTTAAATCTGTAATATCATCGGAAATATTCATTTAAATTACATGCTGTAGAGCCATATACCTAACCAGGTCGACCTCCTCGCGGTTCTTCCTGGAAACTATCATGGTTAATTCCCGATGAATTCATCATGATGGGCTAACTGTCCTGTTTTCATTCTCACCTGTCACCCTTCACTGGTGCTCCGCCAGCGTATCCCGTTAGCGCAGGCGGGGTTACCATTCCATTTTCACCCAGCAAAAAAAAATAAGGTCTATCTATATAAGCCAAAACAATATTTTGTAGAATTTTTATCTGTATATTTGTGTAATATGTTTCTTCTTGTATTAATTTTTTTTATGTAATTTAGAATGGCAAACAAGCTGACGGCCCACCTGATGGAATGTATTAATCGTTGCCTATAGACATGAGCAGTACCATGGACATAACAGAGTATACTGTTTCGCCCATGATACCCCCCATGCGTTGCCATTCCTGAGTACTCAGGTGTTATTCCTCTGTACTCAGTAAATTCACGCTATATCCCACCTTTCAAACCGAAACACAGCCATGCAAACACAGCTGCTTCGCGGTAGAAACACGAATGGGACAGAGGTACCCAAGCAATCGACTTTTGTACAAAATCTCCCTTTTGAAAATGGAATGTTCCTGAAGGACTTAAAACATGGTATCTGTTTTTTATACTTTTTTCGTTTTTTTTTTTTTTATTAGAGGGTGACTTTGTACAAATGTCATTTGCCTAGATACTCTGTCCAGTTCGTGTTTCAGTCGTGAAACAGTTGTGTTTCCATCAGGTGGGCCGTCAGCTTGTTTGCCATTCTAAGTTGCGTAAAAAAGTCTCGGTACGTAATCTAAAAGTAATCTATTTCATTGATTTCCCTGCTGCTATTTCATTGAAGTCCACGCGTACGGGGCAGTGGGTAATATAAATATAATGACAATTTATTCAGAGTTTATTCTTTTTTTAGTTTTAGTTATATTTATTTATTTATTAAGCATATTAAGTCTTACATCCGAGAAATGGGTACTGGTGGCCCGCACGCATGTAAACTTAAATGAGTTAAGGGGCCGCCTGAGAATCAGCGCTGTATAGGTACATCTCGCTGGAGGCGTGCACATATAGCAATAGCTGCGACGGCTTCGGCAACCAGCAAAATTATTTGTCCTATCTTGTTGATTTTTTTTTAAATATTATTAGTGATACTAAGGATAATCTATCTATTTATTTATCTTGTTATTTCGCTCTACCCGTTGTATATACAAATACAAATCTACAACGCCTATAGCCCAATCCAACCTAACTATCGAACGATAAAAAGAGCATTAACGGTGGGAAGACAACAAAATTCACTTTAAATAATCCTAAGTGTTGCAACCCTCCGCCGGTTGGGGGCGTCGCGGGCGGCGGCGTAATCCGCACTTAATACTATCGCTGGGCTGTCAGATGCAGCCGCTACTTCAGATAATGCATCGCCAAGGATGCGTTCAAGTGTTATCTAATTTTGTATGCGGCCAGTTTTTGATAAGTTTTTTTTTATTGGATGATAATGGAATGCGCTCAACCTCCACGTGGTTCCCCCTGGAAACCATCGTGAACAATTCTTGTTGAATTCGTCACGATGGGCCAACTGACCTGGGACCTGTTTCATCCTCACCTATTATTCTTCACTGGTACTCCGCCAGCGTATCCCGATAGCGCAGGCGGGGTTACCATTCCATTATCACCCTTTAAAAAAAAAACCACCGCCTGCGCTATCGGTATACGCTGGCGGGCCACCAGTGAGGGATGATAGGTGAGGATGAAAGCAGGTCAGTAGGTCCATCGTGATCAATTCGACAGTGATTAACCATAATGGTTTCCAATGGGAACCGCGTGGATGTCGACACATATCCTGCCGGCTATATATTTACCAATGGTGTTACAATACGAATTGTTTTTTTTTTTAATTTTATATTCTTTATTTATATATAAATATTTTATGTGCAGTTTCGTTATTATAATTCTTAATAATTTTTTTTGACCCACAACAAATATTTAGACCTTACTCTTTTAAATTGGAGACAATTTTTAATTTAACATAACTATTTTTTAAACGTTAAAAAGCCCTCACAGTATTTATTTGTCAAGTGTTACATTACAGACATACAGGTAGAAATCGTTAAGCAGTTTTGTACCTTATACAGAAGTATTAAGGTGAATAATCGAAATCATGTCAAAACAGAGGGTAGGAAGACGTGTGTAAACTCATGTTTGCGACGCCGTAAGCCGATTACAAACTGTACTTACACTTCTATGACTTATAGTGCATTTAATGTTAAAATATTTGATGTT